ATTAGAATATACTCCTACTCCCCCCTCAGGCCGGCCATTAGGGGCCGCATCCGGGTGGTCCCATCCTAACCTGTAAAAAACAATACAAAATCAACATTTTTCTTATTTTTTCCTCTCGACATGGACGTCCTGTCGTCCACGGCGATAATCAATTGCAAAAAATACAACAAAGAGCACACGCGCGCGTTCATGTCAGAATCCTACCGAACACCGTGTGTTTGCAAGCATTTCAACATAAAAACATCAAAAACCCAATGCTTTTTTCACAACATTGTTTTTACAAATTTTCTGCCACGGGCTCTCTTTGCTGAAATCATTTATATAAAAGACTTAGGAAAACCATAAGAATCTTAAGAGTTCTGTCAAATCCAGCGATTTCACGTCATCGCGCGGTGCACTCGCGATGCTCTGTCATGCACCCAGGCCGCGAATCCTGTGCAAAAAATGCCACGCGGGCGACATGCGCGCGCGTCGCCGCGAGCGCATGCTCAAATCCTTCTAGAGTCGTCGCCGTCATTGGCACCGCCGTCGCCTTCTAGAGTCGTCGCTGTCATTGTCCTGTCAGACCGTCGGGTTTCCTCCGGCCACCTCTGGCTTCCTGCGGTGTACCGGGCCATTCTCGACTCGTCTGGCAATGCGTGCGCGGCATTCAACACGCGCTCGCCAGTTCCCGTCGGCAACCGCCATCGCGGCCGCATCAGCTGTACCAAACCGGCTTGCCGGTGTGACTTCGGCCCCCAGTTGTGCCAGCTTTGCTTCTTATGTTGTGGGAGGGCGGGCGGGACTGGCATGCCATGCTTGACTCGCTCGAGCTGGCTAGCTTGACTCCTACTCCTGTAGTCCTTATTGGAAATACTCCTACTTACACCCCCCAGAGCCGGCAGATAGCGGGCGCAGTCCCGGGTGGTCCCAATCCAACCTGTAAAAAACAATACAAAATCAACAGTTATCTTATTGTTTTTTTCCTCTCGACATGGACGCTGATGTCCACTGCACGGCGAGAATCCATGGCAAAAAATATTTACCAAAAAAAATACACCGCGCGTTCATTGTCAGAATCCTACCGAACACCGTGTTTTGCAAGCATTCAACATAAAAGCATCAAAAATCCAAATGCTTTTTTCACAAAAATTGTAATAATTTACAATTTTCCCGCCCGGACTCTCTTGCTGAAATCAATAGTAAAAGGCAAAACCATTTAAAGAAAGAAATCTTAAGAATTCTGTCACATCCAGCGATTTCACGTCATCGCGCGGTGCACTCGCGATGCTCTGTCATGCACCCAGGCCGCGAATCCTGTGCAAAAAAAACCACAAAGAGCACACTCGCGCGTTCATGTCATAATCCTACCGAACACCGTGTGTTTGCAAGCATTTCAACATAAAAACATCAAAAACCCAATGCTTTTTCACTAAAATGCTTTGGGGTGTCCTGTCAGACCGTCGGGCTTCCTCCGGCCACCTCTGGCTTCCTGCGGTGTACCGGGCCATTCTCGACTCGGCTGGCAATGCGTGCGCGGCATTCAACACGCGCTCGCCAGTTCCCGTCGGCAACCGCCATCGCGGCCGCATCAGCTGTACCAAACCGGCTGGCCGGTGTGACTTCGGCCCCCAGTTGTGCCAGCTTTGCTTCTTAGGTTGTGGGAGGGCGGGTGGGACTGGGCATGCCATGCTTGACTCGCTCGAGCTGGCTAGCTTGACTCCTACTCCTACTCCTACTCCTACTCCTACTCCTACTCCTATCCTTAGTCCTTATTAGAATATACTCCTACTCCCCCCTCAGGCCGGCAGATAGCGGGCGCATCCGGGTGGTCCCATCCTAACCTGTAAAAAACAATACAAAATCAACATTTTTCTTATTTTTTCCTCTCGACATGACGTCCTGTCGTCCACGGCGATAATCCATTGCAACAAAATACCACAAAGAGCACACGCGCGCGTTCATGTCAAATCCTACCGAAACACCTGTGGTTTGCAAGCATTTCAACATAAAAACATCAAAAACCCAAGCTTTTTCACAAAAATTGTAATAAATTTCCGCCGGGCTCTCCTTGCTGAATTCATAGAGAAAACCATGGAATCTGAAAGAATTCTGTCAAAATCCAACACGAGCGATTTCACGTCATTATGCGCGCGGTGCACTCGCGCGAATGCTCTGGTCATGAATTTGCAAAACCAAAACCCATGCGGCGCCCTGCTCGTCATGCAACCCCCGGCCGCGAATCCATTGCAAAAAAAAACCACAAAGAGCACACGCGCGCGTTCATGTCAGAATCCTACCGAACACCGTGTGTTTGCAAGCATTTCAACATACAAACATCAAAAGCCCAATGCTTTTTCACAAAAATGCTTTGGGGTGTCCTGTCAGACCGTCGGGCTTCCTCCGGCCACCTCTGGCTTCCTGCGGTGTACCGGGCCATTCTCGACTCGTCTGGCAATGCGTGCGCGGCATTCAACACGCGCTCGCCAGTTCCCGTCGGCAAACGCCATCGCGGCCGCATCAGCTGTACCAAACCGGCTGGCCGGTGTGACTTCGGCCCCCAGTTGTGCCAGCTTTGCTTCTTATGTTGTGGGAGGGCGGGCGGGACTGGGCATGCCATGCTTGACTCGCTCGAGCTGGCTAGCTTGACTCCTACCCCTACTCCCTACCCACTACTCTACCCACTACTAACTACTAACAACTACTACTACTACTACTACTACTACTACTACTACTACTACTACTACTACTACTACTACTACTACTACTACTACTACTACGAGTACTACGACTACTACAACTACTACGACGACGACTACTACGACGACGACGACGACGGCGACGACGACGCCATTCCCGAGGGAGGCGTCGCTGGCGGAGAGACCCAAGTTTAGCCTGGCACTGTGCGAGGATGCCCTAATCACGCAGCCAATGCTCGCGCAGGCAAGGGATGCTTGAAAACCGTGCCCGAGCGCATCCCAGAGACGCGGGTGAACAAAACAAACAACACATCCAGAGAAGAAGCAGGAAGAAGTGGCGAAGGAGGAGGGAGTGCGAAGAGGGAGTAGGGCGAGGAGAAGAAGAACAACGGATCAGAGAGAAGAAGCAAGGAGGGACAGGAGGAGCAGAAGGGAAGGAGGGAGGTAGGGAGGGAGGGAGGGAGGGAGGAGGAGGAGGAGGAGGAGGGATGCGGCCGCACGAGGCTTTGGACTGGCCCGCGGCTTTGACCCCCTTCCTCTGGGGAGCCCTCGCCACCACGACTCCACTCGCCGCGAACTTCTGATCAGACCGAGCTCCAGGATAGGTCCAGAGGTCGATTCTGGGGAGGGGGGGGGACGAAGACCCAGACATCCGATCCCCTGATTCTCAGGACCCCGGAAGCGGGACCGTTGAGTTGAGAAACCAAGACATTTGGCGGCCGGAGAGAACCTCTGGCCGTGGGTCGCAGCGTTCTCCGTTCCCTCGTGCCCCCCAGGCGGAATGCCCAGTCCTGGTCAGCAAAGTCCTGGTTCGGGGATGGACAGACCCCCTTTAGTAAAACGTGGTTTAGCGAAAACGACCTGAGGCCCAAACCTGGCGGGCGCAAGCCTGGAAAATAACGGCCACGGCGCCGTCTCGAGAACCGAAAACGGACAACATCGACGTGTCACTGTTGGGGGTTCTGTCCACCCCCTTCTGGTCTAAGGAGCCCCGAGCTCTGTTCGAAACGGGGGCCCCTCAAGGCCCCGACCCTTCCCCCCCGGGGCTGCAGCGGGGGGGGCACACGCCACGAAGCACCCTGCTGGCCTCCAGGGTGCCCCGGGTGTCCTGGGCCTCGATGGTCCTGCCATGAAGAGCGTGACGCCCCCACACCAAAAGTCGATGGACGTCCTGGGGTCTCAGGGTTTGGGTTTCTTGTGCAAGGTTCCTTGTGGTCGGGCCCCTACACTGTGCCTTTTCCTCCCCGAGCGTTATGTTGTTCTCATCCTACTTACGGACCGCATCCCAGAAATGATTATTTCGAGCACCCAGAACAGTGAGAAAAGAGTGTCGAAACAGTGTCGGGCGAGTGTCTTCCAGGGCCCGACACGTGAAAACCCTTGAGTTTCGGTACTCTTTTGGGCGCTCGAAACTCTTCCTGGCAGTCAAGGCTAAAGTCGGTTTAAGTCGTGCCTGTCCCCCTACAGGGGGATTTTCGACGAAAAATTAAAAATACCTCCAAAATGCCCCAAAAGTTAATCCAAAAGTAGTCGGGGAACGATTTGTTTAGCATTTTTGACCTTCTTGGGGTATTCTTGGGGATGTTCTTTATTTTTCGTCGAAAATTCCCCTCTAGGGGGACACGCCCGACATAAAAGCATGTTGGAACATCATAACCCGAGCGGTCGTTTCACGGCCCTGCGGCCCAGTGAGGGCCCCAGAGGCCGAGCACGACGGACAGAACAAACCATGTCGTCGCGCTCGCTCAACAGCGTTGGGGCGTGCCCACCGAGGCCCCTCGGCGCGACGCAGGGGACGCAATTGAAGGGGCCCTGGGCCACACAAACAAATAGACACAAATAACAGGATTCCCCATATTTTGCTATATCTTTTCTGGGTTTTTGTCTTCCCCCCCACTTCCCATATGTTCCCATACTTTCTTGGGAATCGACGATTCATTGTGTCTGTGTGGTGTTTCCCCTCCTGAGGAATGGGGGACCGGCACGGGCTGCGGGCGAGCGGCGGAGCCGAGCGGGGCAACCACGTTTTCCGGCAGAGCTGGCTGCACCAGCGAAAAGAGCTGGACGGGGGGCGCCGAAAAGCGGATTGGCCAGCGTGCAAGAAGGGAAAACGGAGAGGCAAGGCGGCCGCGCAGCGGAGGGGGGGGGGGAAAGAAGAGGCCGCGGAGGGGCGGACGGGTCAGCTCCGGCTGAACGGGTAAACACACAATGGTCTTAACCCAGAACTCCGACGTCCCTCTTTTCGGGTCGTGTTGGACTGAGCCTGGTGAGGGCCCCCAGAAGCCCCAAAAAACTGCTCAGAACCTCCCGTCGAGATCTCTTCACGGCGAGGAGAGGCGGGGGAACGCGAGCCCTGCAACCCGTCGAGAGGAGCAGCAGCAGGAGGAGCGCGGTGCGGATGAGCGGCGCCCTCTCCAGGGGGCAGGCCGATGTAAAGGGAGCGAGCGGCGGCGCGGCCCGCCGCTCTCCCTCCTCCGAGGCTTCGGAAGCCTGGCGGGGGTCACTTCGGCTTGGGGCAGGCCTTCTGGACCGTGCCCGAGAAGCAGGCGGTGGAGATGTTGTCCTGAGGAGGAGGTCGGGGGCGGCCAAGAGGGGGGGGCCCAAGAGAGGGGGGGCACAAATCATGGCCGGCGGCATGTGCGCGGCCCAGCGGGGGGGCCAGGGACGTATTGAAACAAGAAGAGGCGCCATGAAATGTGTGGAGATATCATGGCCCCCGCCATGATCTCCACCCCCCCCTAGTCATCACCCCTCTCTCTGCCGCCCCCGAGAGGAGGAAGGGCCAACGGTGCACACGCACCGACCCTGGCCGTGGCCACCCTGGCCCCCACCGGGCTCGGTGCATATGTGCCCTTCCGGCTCGGCCAGGGAGGCACGTGCGCCGCGCGCTCGGGCGCGCCCATGGGGTCGGTGAGTGTGCAGCGTTAGCCCTACCCCCCACGACTTCTGATGGGGAGGGTGGGGTTCACTTCGCTCGGGAGCTCCCGAACGAAGTGAACCCCACCCTCCCCCTCAGAAATCGTGGGAGGTAGGGGCAGGGTTCGCATGTGGCCCCCCTTTAAGCGTTCTCTTCGCCAGGGTCCTCGCAGATCTTCTGGCCGATGCCGTCCACCTGCTGGGCGGCGGCGTCCGGACCCTGCCCCCTGCCAAGCATCGATCCTCCTGCACCGATGGGAGGCAAAGGGAAAGGTTTGGGCCTCGCCCACGTGCTCTCGACGAGGTCCGCAGCCTGATGACCCCCGAGGCCCCTCGAGGCGCCCGAATCGTCGATCGGCGAGGGGGAGCACTCGGACTCCGCCGCCGACCTGCATGAGCGTGGCCCAGTTCTGGAAGTTCCAGGTCTTGCGCCCCTCCTTGGTGGCCTTGGTGCGCTCCGCCGCCCTGTACGCGATGATCTTCTTGGACAGCGCGGGGCCGACGCCCTTCAGGCCCGCCTCCAGGTCGCTGGAGGTCGCGGTCTCCAGGTCGACGCACGCCTGCTTTTCAACCGAGAACGGTCTTCGAACCATATGTCCCGCAAGCTGTTACCCCTGCGGTGGCGGGGGGGGGGGGATACCTGGGGCGGGCGTCCCCGGGCCGCGGAGAAGCATCTCTTCTGCCGCCCGTCGCCCGCGAACTCCTGGCATGCAGGAAAGGGGTCACGAGGGAAACGGAAGCTGGCGCAGGCCGCAGGACCAGTCTTCGCCAGGACCCCGTTGCTCCCCCCGTGAACCTTCGCGGGGGCCGGCGCAGGGGCAGCCCACGCGGCCGGGGCCAGGAGCGCCTGGAGGGAACGACACGGAAACATACTTAGACGAGGGGAGGTCCGCACGAGTGCCTGGGATCCGCGCGCACCCCAGGAAGTGCCTTCTCTGGATGGGGGCAATACTCGCCCGCCCAGTGAATCCGTCGGGGGGAGAGTTGGCAAGTGCTGTCGGCACGGGTGGAGGGGGGGGTTGGAGGAAGAGGAACAGGAGGAAGAGGAGGCGGAGGGGGAGGAGGAGGGAGGGGGAGGGAGGGGGCGGGATTGGGCAAGCTCCGTCGGGAGGTGACTCCCCCCCCCCTGGATTGAGACCCCATGCAGGAGTAATTGTGCTTACAGCCTCGAGCTGCTTCTGGCTCTGCGCCCCTGGACATCCGACGGTGCGATGTTCTCCCAGCCGCGACCCCGGTAACCTCGACCACGCCCCCGGGGACCACCTCTCGTCCTGGACCCCCGTGCTTGCTGGCCTCCGCGGGAGCCGAGGACGACACTCAGGGGGCCAACGCCAGGGCAAACGCGCCACGAGGGAGCAGGAAACACAACCGGCCCTCGGGCCTGAAACCCCCGACGTCATGACCCCCGAGCTTGGCGTATAACCCATGTGGGACCTGCTCTGGAACGAGGACGTGCCGCAGACGCATCTGCCCTTCCTCTCCGACCCTGCCCCGCGCCGAACGCGACGGCCACGTTGTCCGTAGACGCCCCCACCCGCAAAATGTCGATGGACGTCCCGGCACCCAGCGCGTCCCTAGACGCTTGTGGCTAGGACGCGAGAGCGGCGCTTGGCATCGGCCCCAGAGGTTGGCCTTCTAGACGCAGGCAGCCTCGGCCCTCCAGCCACGAGGTATCGGCCCGATCCCCGGGACCAGCTCTCCATCCCGAGCCGTCTCTCGACGGCCCTGGGGGCCTGGCGAGGGCCCCGAGAGGTCAAAAAACGCATTCGAGGCCCTCCGCCGAACCCGAACCTCGATCCTCGATCCCGATCAAAGGACCCAGAGATCCGACGATGTCGTGTTTTTTTGTTCAATGCGAGGACCCCGAAGGGTCGACCCATTCCCCAGGACCAGTTCTCCATCCCGAGTCGTCTCTTGACGGCCCTGGGGGCCCGGCGAGGGCCCCGCGAGGTCAAAAAACGCATTCGAGGCCCCCCGCCCCTGCGCAGCGCGAGGGGGCCTCTGGGAAGGGCCCCCGGGGCCGCTCGCGGCGAGGCGCGGCTGCCCGAGGGCCTAGGCGCAGCGGAAGCGCCGCCGAGGGCCGACGACGACGCCCGAGAACCTCCGCCCCCCAAACCTTCCAGCCTCGCCAACGCCCCGCACCCCCCGAGGAGGGAGGAGGGAGGAGGGAGGAGGGAGGAGGGGGGAGGGGGGGAGGAGGAGGAGGGGGAGGGAGGAGAGAGGAGGAAGAAGAGGGGGGGGGGGGGGTGGGGATGCGGAGGGAGGGTGGGGAGGGATGGAGGGAGGGGGGCCAGCGGGAGTGAGAGAGGAGGTCGGCGGGTGGAGAGGGAGGAGGGGGGGAGGGAGGAGGGAGGAGGGAGGAGGATGGAGGGGGGAGGGCCGACGGAGACGTCCGAGAACCTCCAGACCCCGAACCCCCAGCCTCGCCAACGCCCCGCGCCCCCGCGAGGAGCGCCCGGCTCACGCCCAGCCCGACACCGCTGCTCCCAGGACCTCGCCAGGGGTGCGCTCCTGACAGGCCCCTCGAGGCGCCCCCAGGAGGGAGGAGGATGGAGGATGGAGGAGGGAGGAGGGAGGAGGGAGGCGAGAGGAGGGAGGAGGGAGGGAGAAAGGAGGGAGGAGGGGGGAGGGAGGAGGGAACACATCTGCTCCCAGGACCTCGCCCGGGGCGCGCTCCTGACAGGCCCCTCGAGGCGCCCCCAGCGGTGGCGATGACGGCCTCCAGGGAGGCCCGACGAGGCGAAGACGAAGCAAGCGTGGCGCACCTCGCCACCCTCAGAACCTGGGTCGAGGAGCGTGCCGAGGCCACAACTTCGCAGGGCATCCCGCCGTTGCGACGAGGCGCCTCTCGAGGGCTCGAAGACGAAAACCTTGAATCTCGAGATTGGATCCTCGAGCCAGGTATGACAATTTTCAGAGTGAGCTACGCCCATGACCGCCCCCCCCCTCCCCCCGCACGGTCACGTCACGATTCGCGCCAGCCAGCTCTGGGAATTGTCCATTCGTAACCATTCCCAGATGGCGCCGGCGCGAATCGAGCCGTGACCGGCCCCCCCCCCTCCTCCCCGGAGCAGGCCCATGATCGCCAGGAAGTGAGGTCACGGCATCCTGAAAACATCGGACCTCGATCCTCGAACCCGATAGTGGGGAATCCGAAAGCTACGGATACCGCTACTCCCCGGACCTCTCCTGGGGTGCGTTCTGACCAGGATTTCGAGGCGAATTCAGCGGAATCGACGACGGAGGCCCAGGAGGCCCCACAAGGGGAAAACGAGGGGAGGGCATAGGCATGGGAAATTACCTTTTTCTCCACCGAACCTCGATCCTCGAACCCGATCGAAGGACCCAGAGATCCGATGTCGTGTTTTTTTCAATGCGGGGACCCCCGAAGGGTAGACCCATTCCCCAGGACCAGTTTTTCATCCCGAGTCGTCTCTTGACGGTCCTGGGGCCCGGCGAGGGCCCCTGGAAGCCGAAGCCGACAGTTGCGAAAAACCTCCGTCTCGATTTTTGTCCATACCTCGGATCTCTGGGTCCGTCTGGATTTTTTGCCAATGTGGGAGGCCTGGAAATGGGCACCAACACCAACGCTGGGGTTTGCCTCCACAAGGGGAAAATGATCCTAGATTTCGGTGTTGGTGGTCATATTCCGGCCACCTTGGTACCACCATCATCGAGATCGGGATCCTCTTCCCACGGTGGAGGAACACCGCCGATCTTGGTGTTGGTGTCAACCTCTAGGCCCGCGACAATACTTCCGATCTCTGGGGAGCGCCAGGCACAGGCCCGGCGCGTTAAGCAGGGACCGACCCTCCCGGCATTCCTATAGGCCTACCACGAACTGTTCTTGGAACCCACAATTGCTCTCAAAACAAAAACAATGTTCATAGAACACAAGCCCTATGTGTCAAAACAAGACAGCCCCAGCCAGAAATGTTCTGAGAACATCTCGTGCAGACCACAAAAGGTTCTTAGAACCTTCTTTGGCAGGCCCATAGCCTATAGTCGGGCCCGGCGAAAGGGGGGATAGCAAAGGGGGGGGGTGAGAATCAGCTCACGTAGCTGATTTTCCTGGCGCCTCCCGGCGCCCGGAGGCGCCCATGCATCGAGGAATGGGCCCAGCGGCGGGGCCGAAACCAGCTGCACGCAGCCAAATTTCGTACCCCCCCCCCTTTCCCTATCCCCCCCCCCTTTCGTCCGGCCCGACGTAGGCGAGCCAGGACGCTTCGCCACTGCTTGACACCAGGGCTGAACCTGAACGGTGCTGTTCGTTTTCGTTTCGTTCTCGTTTCCCCTCGCTTTCGTCTCGAATCCGCCTCTACCGCAAAAAAACAAAGTCGAAAAACGAGAACGGCCCACGAGAAATCACCAAAAACAAACACCGTTGAGGTCCGGCCCTGGCTCGACGGTGCTTTCGATCTCTGGGGAGCGCCAGGCACAGACCCAGCGCGGCTCGTTTTCGTTTTCCCTCGCTTTCGTCTCGAATCCGCCTCTACCGCAACACGGAGTCGAAAAACGAGAACGGCTCGCGAGAAATCACCAAAAACAAACACCGTTGAGGTCCGCCCCTGGCTCGACAGTGCTTTCGATCTCTTGGGAGCGCCAGGCACAGGCCCAACGCGGCTCGTTTTCGTTTTCCCTCGCTTTCGTCTCGAATCCGCCTCTACCGCAACACGGAGTCGAAAAATGAGAACGGCTCACGAGAAATCACCAAAAACAAACACCGTTGAGGTCCGGCCCTGGCTCGACAGTGCTTTCGATCTCTTGGGAGCGCCAGGCACAGGCCCAACGCGGCTCGTTTTCGTTCTCCTTCGCTTTTGTCGCGAATCCGCCTCTACCGCAACACGGAGTCGAAAAACGAGAACGGCTCACGAGAAATCCCCCAACAAAAACATCGTTTTCAGGTCCGGCCCTGGCTCGACAGTGCTTTCGATCTCTGGTTTGGACGCCCGAAATGGGCACGGAAACAATGGGCACAATGCCCAACAGCAAATGTTGTCCCGAACCAGCAGCGGCCGCTGTTGAGCAGGCGGCCTTCTGTCTCGAGTGGACGCAGGCCGCGGCGACGCGGACAGCGAGTCCTGCTCAAAATGAACAGGAACTGCTGTTTGGGCACCGTACCCATTCTTTCCGTGCCCATCTCGTTCGCGCAGATCTGGGGCGCGCCAGGCACGGCCCACGAGAACGGCCCACGAGAACGGCCCACGAGAAATCACCCAAAACAAACACCGTTTTCAGGTCCGACCCTGGCTAGTGACGGTGCTTTCGATATCTGGGCAGCGCCAGAACAAAAAAAAAAAAATACAGAAATACGCAAATACAAAAGAGATTAAAAAAAAAAAAAAAAAAACAAACAACGCGCCAGGCACAGGCCCAGCGCGGCTCCCGCCGCCGCCGCCGCGGCCCGCGGCGCCCCGGTACCGGCCCCCGCCGCCGGCGGCCGCGCCTGCCGCCCCGCCCCGGCCGCCGGGGCCCCGCCCGCGGCGGGGGCGCCGCGCGGCGCGGCGCCACGAAGGCCCGGCCGTGGCGCGCCCGGGCGAGCGCGCAGAGGGCGGCGGCGCGCAGAGGGCGCCCCCCCCCACGACGGAAGGTTTTCCCGAATTTTCGACCTCCGGGGGCCCTCACATCGGCAGCGTCAAATTTTTCCGAATTGTCATATTTTTGTCCTAAGTTGTCCTAAGTTTTCTTCGCCCCCGGGCAACGAGAACCCTCACCTCTTCTCCCCCTCACTCCTCCGCCCCCTCCTCCTCCTCCTCTCCTCCTCCTCCTCCTCCGCTCCCTCCTCCTCCGCCCCCTCCCCCTCTTTCCGCCATCCTCCTCGCTCTCCTCCCCGACGCTCACACCTCCGTCCACCACCTCCCCCTCTCCTCCTCTTCTTCCTCCTCCTACCACTACCTCCTCCCTCCACCTCGTCCGCCTCCTGCCGCCAGCCTCACCCCACCTCCACGCCCCCTCCGCCCGCCCTCCTCCGCTCCTCCTCATCCTCCTCCTCCTCCTCCCTCATCCTCCTCCCTCCCTCCTACTCCACATTACACAATCTAAAATACTTCCCACTTCCGCTGATGGCGTCCCGAAGATATCCGACACCCCCCCGCGTATTGTTTTTTACACGCAGGATTCCCGGGAAACGGGTTTTCGCTTGTGTTTTTTTCAAAATGCTATTCTCGCCGAGGCGCCGGCCTCATTTTCGGGCCCCGCTCGTTCCGAATCGTGCTCCCGCTGCAGCGCTGGCCTCATTTCCGTGTTTCCGCTCGTTCCGAATCGTGCTCCCGCTGCAGCGCTGGCCTCATTACCGTGCTTCCGCTCGTTCCGAATCGTGCTCCCGCTGCAGCGCTGGCCTCATTTCCGTCCATGTCCCGTGCCAATGCCAACAGCACACGCGCACACACCACGACACACACACACACAGCACCACCACCACCACCACCACCACAAACCACCACCACCACCGCCTACCACCAGCAACCAGCACCAGCCACCCACACCATCACCAGCAACCAGCACCAACACGCAGCACCAGCCACCATCACCAGCACCAGCACCACACCACTCCAGCACCACAGCAGCCACCAACACCAGCATCCACACCAGCAACCAGCAACTAGCACCAGCACCAGCACCAGCACCACCACACCACCGCACCACCACACCAACAGCACCAACCAGCACCAACCGGAGAAACGACGCGAACCCGATAAACTCAGCGCACCACCAGCACTACCAACACCAACCACACCACCAATCAGCAGCACACCAACACCACCAGCACCAGCACCAGCACCAGCACCAGCACCAGCACCACAACCACAACCACGCACCCACGCACGCACGCACGCACGCACGCGCACCACCACCCACTAGTCCGCGGATAGAGAAAATCAGCGCCATGGTAAGGGATGGGAGGGAGGGGTAGGACGTCAGATATGACGCGCGCGCACCCAGCTTGTCCTCCTCCCCCTCCCCCCCTCCTCCGCCACCACCCATGACGGAAGGTTTTTCCCAACTTTCGGCCTCTGGGGGCCCTCACTGGGCCTCGGGAGCGTCAATGGGAAAGGGGAAAGCCAGTCAGGGGAAAGCGGTCGGGACCTCTGGGGGTCGACGCAATGGAAAAAACCTGACGTCGGCGGGCGAGGCCCGGGCAGGCCTGGAGGGGCCCAGTCGGGCGCGGCCTCGCCGGCCCCTGGCTGGCCATCCCCTTCCAGGGCGCCGTCCTCGCCTCTCGAGCTCCCCATCCTGCCGCACACACACAAACAAACACACACACACAAACACACACACACACACACACCCACACACCCACACACCCACACACCCACACACCCACACACACACACACACACACACCCAACACACACCCACACACCCACGCACCCACGCACCCACACCCCCACACCCCCACACCCCCACAAAACCCCCACACCCCCACACCCCCCACACCCCACACAAAAACACACCCACACAACCCCCACACACACCCACACACCCCACCCCCCCCCGACACAAAATAAAAGTCCCCCCACAAAACACCCACACACACACCACACCACCCACACACACCCACACACACCCACCACCCCTCAACACCCCACACCCCCCCCCCCCCACCCCCCACCCCCCCACCCCTACCCCACACACACACACACACACACACACACACACAACACCACACACACACCACACACACACACACACACACACACACACCCACACACACACACACACACACACACACACACACACACACACACACACACACACACCTCTTAGGGCGAGGCGAAGAGGACGTCACGGAGGGGGATGGTTTGCCAGGGGTCGGTTAGGCCGCCAACAGCAGCAGCAGCAGCAACAACAACAATCATTTTGAGACTGTTCGCCCTTACCTGCTCGAGTGTCCAATCACGCGTATTTCCCAAACCCTCGATACCCGCCCTCTTCGTCTTCGATCGAACCCCTTTTGGGGGGCATACCTTTCTTCCCTGCAAGCCGGGCCCCGGCAAGCGGCGGGGCGGCCGCGGACCGTCGACACGACCCCAAGAGGGACGGACAGGGAACTGACGACGACGACGGCGACGACGACGTCGACGACGACGGCGACGACGACGACGGCGACAACAACGAGCGAAAGCGAGAGCGAGAGAGAACGACAGCAGGGCCACGAAGGACACGAAGTAGGCCACGAAGGGCGACAGCGGGGACACGAAGGGAATGCGTATGGGGTCACGAAGAGCGCGAACGAACGGGGGCCACGAAGGGCAGATAATGCGGGGCCACAGAAGGCAACGATGGGGCCTCTGAGGGTAGCAACTGGGCCACGTAGGACAGTGAGGGGGCCACAAACGGCGACAGCGGGGCCACGAAGGGCATGCACATGGGGCCACAACGGGCGCGAACTAGCGGGGGCCACGAAGGGCATACGTATGTTGGGCCGCGGAGGGCAGGGACAGGGCCACTGAGGGCAGCAACGGGGCCACGAAGGGCAGCGAGAGGGCCACGAAGGGCGATAGCGGGGCCACGAAGGGCATGCACATGGGGCCACCACGGGCGCGACCGAGCGGGGGCCACGAGGGGCATACATTTATTGGGCCACGAAGGGCAGCGAGGGGGGCCACGAAGGGCTGCAACGGGGCCACGAAGGGGAGCGAGGGGGGCACGAAGGCCTGCAACGGGGAAAGCCACGAAACAAAGCGAGGGGGCCACGAAGGGCTGCAACGGGGCCACGAAACAAAGCGAGTGAAGGGCTGCAACGGGGCCACAGAGGGCAGCGAGGAAACCACGAGGGGCTGCAACGGGGCCACGAAACAAAGCGAGGGGGCCACGAAGGGCTGCAACGGGGCCACGATACAAAGCGAGGGGGCCACGAAGGGCTGCAACGGGGCCACGAAGGGCAGCGAGATCCGGTTTCCTGGGTAATTTGTGAAGGAGTCCTAAGAGTGAGCGCGACTCCTGGGTGCCTGGGTGTCGGGAACGCGGCGCTTAAGTAAATTGCAAGAAATTCCAACGCATGGGCGCTACTCGTCAGTAAAATGCAAGCAAGTCTCCAGCGAGAGCGCGACTCCAGAGCGCCGGGAGAGCGATTCCTTAATTAAACGTAAGGAAGTCCCAAGCGAGAGCGCAATTCCTCAATAAAATGCGAGAACGCGTCGGGCGGGAGCCGGGGTCCTGGCTAAATTGTGAGGAAGTCTCAGGCTGGAGCGGTTGCTATTGTAACCCGGGGGCCAGGGGCACAGTTTGAGCATCAAGACTTCCCCTGTCAAAAAACAGGGCGCGAGCGTCGAGGGGCACACTTTGATTTAGAAAAAAACAGTATGCACCGGTGGAGGGATCAACAATACTTATTTTTGGAAACGAGAGCTCAACAACAACAACGACAACAACAGCAACAACAACAACAAACACAACAACAGCAACAACAACAACAACAATTACTAGCACGTGGGGACACTCCGTTCTCACCAGTGCCAGGGTTTTCATAGGAGGCGGGCAATACCCCCACTTTGTGGGGGGGCCGGTTCAAGCTCTACCAAATTTTCAAACGACTCTTCGCCACCACCCACACCCAGCTTCCCGCCCTATGACGTTCGGACACTTCACTTCGTGGCATGCGGACGACCGTGGCTACTATTCAGGCCCCGCGGCCGACGACGACGGCGTGCGCGCGCGAAGAAAAAACGAATGTGTCCCGCATGGTATTATTTGACAGGGATGATGGCCCTGGCAGGTGCGCAACCGTTGTTGGAGAAGTTCGAAGCACGTGAAAAAGTTGCTCGCAAAAGCCCGTTTGACAGAAATGTTTAAAAAAGTGTTGGGTTTCCTACAAATCCGCAAGAGCGCGCGGGATGAAATGTTGACAATTTTTTTTTGAAAAACCATTGGTTTTTTGATGTTTTTATGTTAAAATCGCTACGAAAACTAAGGTTTTGGAAGGATTTCGTCTTGCGCGCGCGAATGTCCACTTTACCTATTTTTTGCAAGGGATTCTTGAAGTTTGGTTATGTTAGAACAAGAAATGTCCACTTTAGCTTATTTTTTGCAAGGGAAAACCGATCGTAACAACACAACCGGATCCGGACCAACCCGTTTTGCCTGAGACTTCCTCACGAAAATGATGAAAACGTGGCTGCGGCCTAGGCGCGGCGGGGGGGCCATGCACCAGGGGCCCCAACAATAATTATTCTTCAGAAGTAATAATGTTCAACAACAACAACAACAACACCAACAACAACAACAACAACAACAACAACAAGAACAACAACAACACGAACACGAACACGAACACCAACACCAACACCAACACCAACACCAACACCACCAACAACAACAATCGCAACAACAATCGCAACAACAACAACAACAACAACAACAACAACAGCAACAACAACAATAAGTTTGAGACTGTTCGCCCTTATGCTCGAGTGTCCAATCACGCGTATTTCCCAAACCCTCGAT